TTGTGAGCTTGCTTCGCTTGCAAGAGTGCTTGGTTGAGTTTTTGCTTGGAACCAGAAGAAGGGCTGTAGGCCTTCTAGGTTTTTAACGGACTTGACTCTCCGTGGGTTACAGCCCAAAAAAGCGACGGCTGCCTCCCGACGCCAATGCCCTCTCCGTCTCTTGTATGTCGCGGGGACACCGTGCTTGAGATGCGACGTAGATGACCACCTTGATCGTCAGACAAACTCAGGCAAAGGTTCTTTTGCCTTCAATTTTCCCTATTGGAGAGGTTCACGGCACCTTACCTATCTCATTTCAGCTGCTTCTTGTGTAAGGAATGCAGAGCAGTGTGCCTCTGCAATTTATCACCACCCCACTCTGATTGCCGGCGAGCCTTGTTGCCGCTCTGACTTTTGCATGCTGTCATGCTGTCTTACTATGCCTTGAAGTGTCGATGTGCCATTGCGCAAGGCGATGTGCTTGCTATTGCGCGCCTTTGAAATTTGGGAAGCGGAGCATCTGAGGGAGGACGATGTTGACATGAGCCGGAAGATTAATCGCTGAACGACTCTTGCCGGCAGAGCCTGTTGGTCGCAGCATGTTTCACCGATTATTAGTTGTCCTTTTCGCTTCTTGTTGCTTTCCACTTTCGAGAAGAGACTGCGTTTGCATAATTGCAACCGTCCATGAATTGCCGGTTTTGGAGTTGAAAACAGCTCGAAAACGTTGCTGCGGACAGAAGCTCCACGCATTCCAGATTTTCGTTTATGTGTGGAAAAAGGAAGCAATCCAAAGCAGTTGCTGCAAAGTCTTCTTGTCGGTTTTAGGTGGATTTGAGATTTGAGATTGGTTTAAGTGTGTCTTGCTCGGTTTTATGTGGGCTTTTGAAGGGATTGGCTGGATTTCACTTGGATTGGAATTTGGTGTGTTTGCGGTGGTGTACATCTGCTGTTTTATGGAACCAAACCTTCTAAGTGAACAAGAACCATCAGTTTTGAGGTCAGCAGTCAGTACGTCCACTTGGGCTGGTGATAAAAGACAACACTCGGTACGTGCATTTGGGTAGTTTTGAATGTACGTGCATTTTCTGTGATTTTGAAGTCAACGCTCGGCATGCCTTTCATCGTGAATCTGGGCTGGTTGCGATAAATCAACACTCAGTGTGTGGATTTGGGGTGGCAAGCAACGAAAGCAATCAACAATTAATATTGTTGGAAGACCTGCCGAAAAGTTGCGCAGGAACGGGACCAACTATGGCCTTTCTTTCGTTGGGTTGGGAAAACCACGAGCGCAGGACCACGCAGAACTTTACTTGATGCAAAGCTACAAGGTGGGAAGGGCGGTCCTGCAAAAACGCTGTGGGAGGATAGAATTATATTCCAATAAAACAGTTTGCAGGATCATCCGTTTTGTTAGCTTGGGCCGGACAGGAAGTCAAACAACTACATTGGGTACTGTCGCATGGATTGGGTTTCTAGTGGTCTCCAGTCCTCGTCTTTACTATTCACTCGGCGGAGTAGCAGGTCTAACTCAACTCTGACCTGCGTTCAAAGCTGAAAGTTGGGTTTAACGCAACCAACCCCAACCCTTGAGGTTCAACTAGTTGCAACTTTCGGAGATAAAGGTTCGGGTTAACCCTAGCAAAAGCAACCGGGGCCTATAACTTTTGGATTCCGCATGTTGCAAAGAGAACAGGTAAGAACTTTTTCACAGATGACGATGACGACGACATCGTACCGATTTAAGAATAAAACGAAACGGCGACAGTAGTGACTATGACCATTCTCGTGATTCGAAAAAAGGGAAATAGCACCTTAATTTTCTAAACCCTAAACCCCATGCCCTAAACCCTAAACCTTAAAACTCTAACCGAAACCTCATGCTCAAATCATGTTCATGTCACTGTAGTTGACTAGTTGACTTGTGATTTCGCGCGTTCTTTCAGAGATCAGAGCTGTCGCCTGCGAGCTCAATTTTCGGTCAATTCATTCGGAGAGCAGCAACAGATCAGTTGTGGTAGTAGTTTTTCGTCGAATAGTACGGTGAATAACCATTGGGGTCCGCATCCCCAACCCGCCGACCCGTGGGTTAACTCCAACCCGAACCCACGGACCCGGCGTTAGGGTTCGGGTTGACCAGCCCAAACCCGGTCCGGGGGTTCGGGTACCCCAACCCAAACCTTTGGGCGCCGGAATGGGGTTAGGGTTTACGGACTGAGGTTTGGGGTTCGGGACTTTAACCCAACCCTAATCTGCGGGCCTGAGGTTGGGGCTATCCTGAACCCCAACTTAAGGTTAGGGTTCGGGTTCAACCGAACTTCAATCTGAGGTTCACATTAGGCTGAACAGAACCTGAACCTGAGGTTCGGGTTGTTGGCTCGCTCGCTGCCGGGGACCGAGGTTGTAACAATGTTCAACCCCAACCCCCAACCCACCCCCCTGCGGGGTATGCTCTTTGGAGTTAACCTCCAACTATCTTGTGTGTTGGAGACAAAAGTTTCTGTTTTTGCGTTCACCCCTTGAAGCTTTTCGTTTGGCTTTCTTCTTTCGTGTGTTGGAAAAGTCAATTCTTTGCGGCTTAAGGAGCAGGGAGCTTCCGTTTTAAATCGCGGGGGGATTGGGAGGGGCGCAGCATCCCCCAATTGCAAACCTTTGCAGCTGCCCCATTTGCAAACCTTCCAACATGAACCAATTTATTTTTTGCTCTTCACGCCCTGCAGCTTTTCGTGCAGCTTTCTTCTTTTTTGTGTTGAACCCCAACCCTAACCGACGGATCCGGCGGTAGGGTTCGGGTTTCCCCCACCCTAACCCAGGTCCGCGGGGTGGGGTTCGGGTTAACCCCAAGTTTAACCTGCGGGCCCCGGTTGGGACTCAGGGTTAGGGTTCGGCCCAAACCCAACCCCAGGTCCGCGGGTTGGGGATGAGGGTTAACTCCGAACCGTAACCACAGGGTCCGGGTTGGGGTTGGGGTGAACCCGAACCCAACCCGCGGTTCCCGGGTTAACGAACTCCTACCCTGAGTCCGTGGGTTAGGGGTTCGGGTGGAAGATAACCCGAATTTCGAACTTGGGGTTCGAGGTTCGGGTTTAACCCAATTTTGCAAAGTTGAAATGTGGTCCAGTCAACAACCGAACAGCTTCCAATTCGCTGCTACCTCGTCGCCCCGTGCCTTGAGGTGCGTGGTGCACTGGACGTGGCGGTTCAGCGGATCCGGAACACATGGAAGGAGTGGGAAAGCCTTTTAACTTTTAACCATATTCAGATTTTCCGCTCTGCGCATCTTTGCTGGAGAGCATTTGGCAGCGCCCGATGTGAACATATTTTCGCGAGATGGGGATGGGGTGGGGTGTTGCCAAACTTTGGAGTAGAGGTCCTTGCTTAAATCCCTTCCAAGGTCCGCTCATGTTGGGACGTGTGTCACACCAGTACAGGTTTCGTAGCACTAGAACAGAGGAGACAAGATGGTTCGAAAGGCGCACTCATTCAAAGCATGCAGACAGTATGAACCAAGCCGAGCCATGGCCTCCAGCAAAGCTGGCAGACACGCTTGGCAGCGATGATTGGCAACTTTCGATGGCAAAGGCAGGCGTGCCCCGGCGTTGCCAAAATCGCTTCGACTTCCAAGATACATGCAGGGACACCGGGAACTCTCCGCATTTTCGTATTTGTGGCCATCGCTGGTGCGATGAATACTCTGTTGGGAGCGGGTACTGTCAAGTGTATCCTCCCGATGGTAGCACCTTCTTCGAAGTTGGCAGTGGCTCCAGCAACCCCCTCATTGTGGGGTCATCACATTGCGCAGCGAAGCGATCGAGCCTCTGTTGTACGTCGAAGCATTCGACATGTCGACGACAGCGAGAGTCGATTTGAGATGACTGAGGTGCCAACTCCTCTCAGCTCTTCCTCTGCCCACTGCGGGCCCCTATCGCAGTCGCCCTGATGATGAAAGCCGGTAGCAGCTCGGTCGGCGCTTGGCTCCATGCCCTAGACTCTTCCGGGTCCTCATGCCCAAGCCGGCCCGCGGAGTTCTCGCGCCGGCTTTTCGCCGCGTTCAGGGAGAGCGAGCTGACGGTCTCCGGGAAGTTCCTTTCCTGGATCTTTGGCCCGGAGGGGCTTGGGGTGTCGGTGTGTCTTGCATGCAAGCAGAGATCATTGCAGAGGAATGTCGCGAGAATCTGTCACCGAGTGTTGCAAGGACCGCCAGGCTGCGGCCTTGGGCACGACGGGCATTGGTGAAGCGCTTCTTCTATGAGACGAGGCCACAGAAAACCGCTTCCAAACTGTTGCTGCCACCGGGATGGTGCATGCCATGCTGTGCCGCGGGTTCAGGACGCTTGCCGGTCATGTTGGTCCGTAGTCCGTACCGGCGTGTCCATTCTTACTTTCGGCACAAATGGCTGGCGAATCCGAGCAAGGAGCCACTTACGGGGTGGAAGGATCTTCCAGAGTTTGTCAGGAAGTTGGCGGAGCATCGCACTTTGAACCGCTCCTTGCCGCTTCTCTTCACGAAGCAGGACCTCTATCACACCCTGTCATTTCACGAAATCCTGCGGGACATCCGCTGGTCTGCCGCCGCCCGCGAGGCAATGCGACTGAGGCGAGGCCTGAGAACGGGCTTGGCATAAGCTTGGTGACATATTTTCGTCTCGGAAGCTCTCACTGGGTTCAGGATGTGCGTTCTGCGCCTGGAAGTGCTTCACATGGACTTCCTCCATCTGCACGCAGTGCTCTGCCGTTGGTTCGGCTTCTGCGAGCGCTTGCCGGCCATCCCAGAGATTATTCCGACTGGGTTGCGACCGTAACGTGGGCACGAAGAGATCACGCTGCCTAGTCTAGATTTGATGGAACGAGATTTTTGCAGTTGACTGTAGTATGCAAGGTACCTAGCGGTTCCCTCGCCTCCGTGGGAGACGCTCTGGACGAAGGAGCAAGCGGCTTCCGTCTTCTGGTTTTGGTTTTCTTCTTGATGTTTGGAGGTGTTGTAAATGACACATGTATTTCTTTGGGCACTGCGTGCTCTTGCACGTCCGGCGCCGTGTAGGATGCAGTGCAGAACATGCGCCAATTGTTTGCCTCGGACTTCGAAGAGCTGGGCTACTCCGTCGATCCGTTGCAGAAGGCACCTGAACGTCGAGCTCCCTGCTGGATGAGAGCCGAGTCGTAGAGTTCTACGCCTTGCCTCCTGGGAGGGAGAGCGCATCTTTCCCAGGAGGAAAAAGTCTTTGCGCTTCTCTTGCGATAGAGAGATCTGCTGTATCGCACCTCGTGCATCTGTTGCATCGGCCTGCCGTTTTCAGCCTCGAGTATTCGCTTTAGCAGCAATTCTTTCGTCAACTTTTCCGTGACATTTCGTCATGGGGTGCCTTCAGCTGCCATTAGGTGGGGAAGTTCTGCTGCGTGAACGGATGTAGTTCACGGTTGTTGTCTACCTTTTACCCCGTGCCCCGGAAAACCATCTCGATCTACTTCTTACAAGCCGTGAGCCAAGGGGTGCTGCTTCCAGCGACGTGAAGAATGCTATCGAGGGGAAATCGGCCGACGAGATCGCTGCGGCTCTGAAGGCTTGGCATTCTTTTCGGTCGATTTTCGTTGACCAAAGCGTGCACAGGAGCTCCCAGCAGACCAGCTCGCAAAGGTCAAAGAGGCGGTGGGCAAAGGCGCGAAAGGGGTCCGTGACCCCTCCAAAGCCATCGGTAGCTAATTCGGCCCCATGTTCTTCGAGAGCTCAGAGTGCCGAGCAGACACCCGTTTGATGGTGTATCTGCAGGTCCTGCGGCAGGCCAGCTGGGCTGCTCAAGAATCCTGATGTGAGCTAGTGGGCATATCCCAACCAGACACTCAGAGTCAGGAGACGAATAAGGGGAACCCTCGCCCTGCTGGACTTTTGCAGACAGCCTGTCCTCTGCCAGTTGCCTGCCCCGGACCGGTTGATTGCTCCAAGATCAGCGTGGTGGGAAAGGCACGGGCACAAGCGGGACGAAGCCGAAGCTCATTGGAATTTCTGCTCAGGTCACGTCTTCGCCTTAGGAGCCTCAAAGAGCCTTGGGGTGTGTGTGCTGTGTGAAGGACTACAAGGGTCTGCTGGAGCAGCCTGCAGAGCCCAAGTTCAAGGCTGGCGATGGATGTTTCAGACTCTAGATAGAGGCCTACGTGGGCCGGTACAATTTCTCAGCGATGGGCACAGCGCGCTCTTCCTGCACAGGGTGCCCTGGCTCAGATTTTCGTCCGATCGCAGCCTTACGGAGGCTGTGGGTGAAAACAACTTCTCTTGTCTGGTTTCAAGCCGCATGCGAGCAGCATGCAGTTTTGCCAAATGCTCGTCCCCTATAGTGGTTACGGAAGGAAGCTCCCGTTCGCCATGCTAAGTTCGAGACCGTCTGAGTGCTTCCCGCAGGATCTGACAAGAGCAACAACGGCCGATTCCTCAGTGCACGCCGACTCCAGCACGCCAGCATGCTTGAGCTCCGAAGAAAGCTCCAGCCTTCTGCATACTCGGACCCCTGCAGGCCACCGCTACGACTCTATTCCCTTCGCCAATGGCATGATCACTTCCGGCATGAGCTGCCAGTTGAGACTGGGCGGAAGTGTTGAAATCCTGAAGACAGCATAGACATCTGAACACTTCGCCCCAGCAGTCAGCGCTTCATGGGGTCGTGTCTGCAAGGATTCACTACACGCATGAAGAGCATGCTGCATTCTTCGAGTTGTGCAAGAGCTTCAACTTCATCATCGTCCGCTGCAATCCAGGCCTCAGATGTGCCTTTGCAATCCTTGGCATGCCGTCCGGAGTTCGACAGTGCCAGTCCTGTCGTGTTGTAGCAGGCCAGATCAAGGCCGACGGCGGAGATCAGCAGAAGTTCGACGACGGCATGCGTGAGATGCGCAAAGCCGGCATCCAGGTGGCTTGTATATGTGGGGCGTATCCCAGCGTTTCTTTCGCAAGGCCCATGAACATGCCGAGTTTGTCCGGTACTAGCAGCAGGTCTGGCCCTCTCCGGACGTAATATGCTAAAGTCGCTAGACAGGCAGCAGCCAGACTCCCCAAACAGGCGCGCCAAAGCCAAGAGGTCAACATAGGTAGTTGACTTGCAAAAAGGTGTGGCCCTCTCCGGACGTCATGGAGAAGATGGGAGCAAAGGACGCTCTGTGCAAGGCCGATGCTCCTGCACTCAAGTCCGCCGTCAGAGTGAGATCTTACTCTGCAGTGGTGCGCAGGTGGCCACGCTGAACATCGGGCTGGAGGACACCCTGGCATACTATTCGCCAGAGGACTTCGCTCGAGACCGAGAAAGCCGCAGGTGGCCCGTGTGGCAATGTTGCTGCAGCATCGTAGCAGTCGTGGTCTAAGGCCGTGGGCTTTAAGAAGACCATGGCCTTCCAGCCGCGCGTGATCAAGCAGAACCGCGGCTCCTCGGGCGAGGGCATCTGGATCATCAAGCTGGCCGAGGGCAACTACTGCAAGGAGTACGGTGAGAGGTCCTGCGAGGATGGCGAGGTCCTGAAGCTGATGGAGGCGAACGACAACCACGAGGAGACCCACACCGTGGCCGAGTTCATCGAGTTCTGCGTGAGCGGCCGCACGGACAAGTCCGGCGAGTGGACCTCCAAGGGCGTCGGAAAGTACCTCGAGGGCGGCAAGGAGGCCGGTGGCCAGCTGGTGGACCAGCGCTTCTGCCCGCGCATCGTGGAAGGCCGGCTGTTTCCGACTCCTTGTTTGTAGATCTGGGTCTGCGCTGCGCTGAGATGCGCCGAGT